CCGCCACGCCTTGGCGATTCGTTTGTCGAGCGTCCCGACTGCTGCGAGCGCCCGTGCGGATTGCCTCCTGCCGTGCTGCGACGAAGAAGCACAGCCCTCCGCTCCCACGGCGTTGTCCAGAGGATGCCCCGCCCCCTCGGCGCTATGGCTTCGCAGCACTGGACAAAGTCGTTGTTTTTGCCCCCTGTTCTTTCTGAACCGAGAGTGGCGTTCCCGCTGCAGCGCGGGCCTCATTTTTGGATCGGCGCTTTCCTCTCGTCGTTCAAACAAGCACTCTCTCCCCATCGCGAGCTGTTCTGGATCCATTTTCCATCGTCGTCGCGGCGACAACGATGGATAAAGGGGAAATGTGGTGGGGCGACAAAGTCGCCCCACCTCATTTCCCCTATCGTTTCCCCTGCTACCGATCCTTCCTCTCGAGCTCCTGCTGCTGCTGCAGCGGCTATTCGTCCTCGTCCTCACCCTTCCTCGGTCTCCTCGTTTTCCTAATGCTCATCCTCCTGCTCATCCGCCACCTCTTCCTCCAATGTGCACAGCTCCCTGTTTTCCTGATTGCGTATGACATACGAGGTATCCATTCATCCATCCATCCTCCACCTCCTCCACGAGGCGAGGTGGTTTTCAGGTCTGCTCGGGGTGGAGGGTGACCCGCGGAGTACAACCTACTCTTCCTGCTCCCTCCCGGGCGGGGAGGAAGTGGAGGCGAGCGAGGGAGGGAAGTGAGGAGGAGAAGGCCTTCTCAGAAGGCGGCGGCGCTTCTCAGAAGCCGTCGCGCCTTCTGAAAAGTTTCCTGTGTCTTCGGAGGGGCCTAGGAAACTTTTCAGAAGGCCAGGGGACTTCCGAGCCTTCTGAAACGGTTAGACCCATCTCATTCCCTCCCTCGCTCGCCGCCGATAACTACTCGTCCTCCTCCCTCCCTGGGGGCGGGGGGGGCTGGGAGGCCAGTCGACTGCGCTTGGGTCTTTCTCCTGCCACCCCCCCTGGCCGAGGCGGCCGGGCTGCCGCAAGCAGCCACGGCGGCGTGGACGGCCGGCGGGAGGCCGCCCTGCCCGCGCCGAGAGAGCGCCACGCGGAGCAGTCGCCAGGGCAGCGTGAGTCGGCAGCGAGCGAGCGAGGGAGGGAGGGTCGGGCCGGACGAAAGGGGGGGACTGGGAAAGGGGGGGTGACGAAATCTGCTACAGGCAGCTGGTTTCGACCCCACTGAGGGGCCCATTCCTCGATACATAGCCGCCTCCGGCGCCGGGAGGCGCTGGGAAAATCACCTACGTGAGCTGATTCTCAACCCCCGCCTTTGCTATCCCCCCTTTTCGCCCGACCCGAGAGGGGGGGGGGTACATTTCCTAGAAATGGCTCGCACCTTCCAGACTCGGCAGTGGTGGACAACAGCTTTGGAGACGCAGCCATCTCGCAAGCGTCGCCGGGACGGGCACGCGCAGGCGGGGATAGGGCACTGGTCTGAATGGGGAGATGTATTCGTCGACGCTTTTCGGGGTAGATTGGCGAGCAAAACGGGATACTCGTACAACGCTTGCTGAGTGGATGAGGCTTTCCCCAGACTTTGAAGCCCAGACCTGCACCCGTTGGAAACTGTCGAGGCCGAGGGAGCAGGAGGATGACGACGAACAGCTCGTAGGGCCACCGCCTGCGCGCCGATCCCGGACAGATCGCCACAGCTTTGACGAATAGGCGGCCACGCATGGCGAGGGCGCCCCGGCGATGCAGTGGGCCGGACCCGAACGGCATCTCTTCTTCGTCGCAGATTGCGAACCCTTAGCGAACGTCATCAACGGCGACACGATCCTGCTCAAGCCTGACCTTCTCCCGCTCTTTCACCCGCGTGTCCGAAAAACTGTTTGTGTCGAGCCAGCGGGAATTGAACCTTGTGCAGTGGCGCCGTCGACTCTTCAATAGGATAGCCGGCCACAGTGCGCATTAGACCGTAGGTATCCAGCGTTCATGGTGTCAGAAATTTGTACTTCCCGTGGACAGCGTGCTTGTGCAGAAAGAAAGCTATGTCATACATATTGATGCGGGGACCAGTGCAAACAAGTGCTCATGAGCAACGTGGTACGTCGAAGCCCATGGGCAGCTACCGACCGGGACAGTGCCGTAGCCAATATGCATGGCAGGACGATTTATCAGCACATCACTATTTTCTTTTACGGCCGAAGCCATAGCATTGGAAGAAACAGTGGACTTGATGTGGGAGCGCTTGAGAAGATGACCATGTTATGTTTGCTTTGCAACGTCAGTATCAGGTCAATGCAACCGCGCATGAGAAAGAAATTAACAGATATATAGATATATGTATACAGAGGCAAGAAAGATATCGCTAGACCACCTTATTCCAATGGGCTGGTGGGATCAGCGACGCCGCATGCCACATTCGTAATTTAGCCATGGGTTTAATGAGTTGCTCTTCGACCGCAGTCGTTCCCGCGCGTGCCAATTTTGAAGTGGGGAGAGGGTCGGCGGCAAGCGAGGGGGGAAACGAAAACAATAATGCCTTTTTCAGAAGGCGGCGGGAATTCTCACAAGCCGTCGCGCCTTCTGAGAAGCTATCTGTGTCTGTGGGGAAGGCTGTGGAATCTTCTCAGACGACCCGGGAACTCCCGAGCCTTGTGAGAAGGCATGTCTTTCTCACTCCCCCTGCGGGTTCGCCGCCGAGATAGGCGGGAAACGTAAGACTCGAAGTCGCCGGAACTCGGGTTTGCCAGCGTTTTTTCACAAGCCCGTCCCAGATTTTGACGGTCCAGTTTTCGCGGTCTCCTCGGTCGGGGGGGCAAAAAGCTCCGGGGGGAATGCATCTTCTCGTCATGAGCTCGTCCTCCTCGTCTTCGTCTTCCCCTTCTAGGAGCGGACAGCGACGGACTCCTTCTCCCAGCGCCCTTTGTTCCTCCTCCTTCCTCCTCGACCTCCTCCTCGTCTTTCTCCTCCTCCCCCTCCTCCTTCTCCTCCTGCTCTTCCTCCTCCTACTCCTCGTCGTTTGCCTCATCCCCGCCCCGCCCGCAAGAGACATATTTTGCATCCGCTAGGGATAATGAGCGTTACCAGGGGGCGGGGCGGAGAAGGAGGGGGCCAGTAGCGCCATAATTCGCGCCAGCGCGAATCGTAGTGTCAGACAGGGGGGTTGGCTTGGTGACAAGCGCTGGAGGATACGAAGAATTGTTCCATTAGCCCGTCGATCGTGAGGGGGCTTGATAGCCCACCCCACCCAGGATCCTGCGGAGTCGTCATCGGGGGCCCAGCGCCGATCTGTCGGAGACGTGTTGCCCATTCCAGGTCGACTGTTCCCCCTGCAGCCGCACCCGTACCCCGCCCCTAGAACGTTCCCCCCTCAAGCCGGGGCCACCTACGATTCGATCCGACGCGATCTGAGTCCGGATTCCGATTCCGAGTGCATTATAATCCGCCGCGCGCAGAGGGCGGCATGGGGGAGGGGGGAAGGCTTCCTAGAAGCAGGGCCCGCGCCTTCCAAGAAGCAGCCTCTCTGTGTAAGAAGCCCCCCTCCCCCATAACCCCGCTCTGCTCGCCGCCAAACTGAGGAGGAGGAGGAGGAGGAGGAGGAGGAGGAGGAGGAGGAGGAGGAGGAGGAGGAGGAGGAGGAGGAGGAGGAGGAGGAGGAGGAGGAGGAGGAGGAGAAGGAGGAGGAGGAGGAGGAGAGGAGGAGAGGTGCCGATGCTACCCTTCTTTGTGTTCCCCTTTCTGAGGCCTTCTGGGAGAGGCCCTCGCCGCGGCGGGGCTCGAGGTTGGAAGAGAAGCTAGGGCAGACCGCACCCCCGGAGGGGGAGGTTCGGGGAGCGGCGGTACCGGTACCTGCTTCGGTCCTCTGATGTCAGGAGGAAAGAAACACACAGACACAATTAATCGTCGACTCCCCAGAAAATATGGGAAAATATGGGCAGTGGGGGGGAAGACAAAAACCCAGAAAATATGGGGAAATATGGGGAATAGTTTTATTTGTGTGTATTTATTTGTGTGTCCCAGGGCCCCTTCATGATGCTCCTTCCCCCGCGCGGCGGCCCTCGTCGTCTTTCCTTCCTCTGGCACGCCGGACAATTCGCCTGCCGCTCGCCGCAAGTGGCCACGCGCTGCAGCGGACTGCCTCGGCTTCGCCGCCGACGAACAAAGTGTCCCCAGATGTGGAACCACCGGGGACCCGGCGCGGCAAATCGGTTTCGGTTCGTTTCGGGACGGCTCTCGTCGGCGATCTGGTTCGTCGCGATCTGGCCCCCGGTTTCGCGATTCGGTCCTGCTGGGGTCCAGAAGCCGTCCCCGTTGTTCGCGGAACGAGCGCGCGTTCGCTGGCTTGCTCTGACCCAACACGTGCGAAGGCTTGAGTTTTTCAGTGAGCGGCCCCTGGAAGTTCCGACCCTTTCTTCAGGGCTAGTTTTCCACCCCGAGCTGGTTTTAATTGTTTTACGGTCCCAGGGCCCGGAGAGTTGGGTGATGCAAAAAGAAAGGCACACACGTTTTTTTGTACAACGCCTCAACCCTTTCCACCCTGCACCCTCGATCACATATCCTGCAATTTCCCCGTCGGCGGATGAGTCAGCCGTCCAGTTGCCAACGGTTTCGTTTGCATTCGCGTCTCTCCGCGCTAACCGGGGCTGCTCTATTTCACTGACAGTGCACATGGACACTGCCATACCCCACGCGGCCCGACAGCCCGTCCGGGCCAATGGCGCGCGCGCGCGCCGAAAATGCCTTCGGGGCGATGCTTCCCAGCTCTCGCGAGAGCCCCGCCCGAGCCCCCACTCCCCCACTCGCTCCCCCCCCACCCCACGGTTGTCAAGCCATGCTGAGAGCCCCATGTGCGCAGGCAGCTGGCAGACTTTCACCCCGTCATCATTCCTCCGTTCCTTGTCCTTGTGAATGATTTCTCCCCGCCGCACCCCGAGGCCAGTTGTTAGGGCGGGCCGGGCGTTTCGCCTGAGACCTCCTCACGACTCATGATCCTGAAGCTTACAAGTTGGCAACAGTTGCGCTACTGGAGAGCGGGTCGTTTTCAAAATGTGGTTCTCGCCTTCGCGCCGCGCACATTCGCACTAAAAGTTTGCAAGAGTTTCACGGGTTGAGGACGAGTGGTTTTCAACATGTGGTTTTCGCCTCAGAGCCGCGCACATTCGCCTTAGAAATGTGCAACGGCTTCACCGATTTAGGGCGGATCCTTTTCAAAATGCGGTTACCGCCTGAGCGCCGTAAAAGTTGCAAGAATGTCACGGATAAAAGGGCGGTTTATCTTCACATGTGGTTCTCGCCTTAGCCTCACGCACACCCGTTGAACAATGTGCAGAGGTTTCACGGATTGAGGGCGGTTCTTTTTCAAATCGTGGTTATCGCCTTAGCGCCGCGCAAATTTGTATTAAATGTTTACAGGGTACTCACTGGTTCCCATGTTGGACGGATTCAGGTTTATGAGGGTGCACAGGCTATGTTGATGCGTGGTGTCCAGGAATGGCGTTCTGGCACGATTCATGGGCGCCAAGACGCAACAATCAGGTTGATCCGTGGCGTGCGAATCCCGAGAACGATGGTTTGGCATGCGCCAGGGTCTTCGAACAGTTGTCTTCCAACGAGGCAGTTCCCTCAGTAAAACTGAACCGTTGTAGGAACCTATAAAGAGGGAGCTTGGGGAAACGGTTTATTACCACATCGTTGATGCCCCTTGGGTTTTGATTGGTCCTCCTCATCATCCCCATCCTTTCATCCTCGTCCTCGTCCTCATCCTCTTCGTCCTCCTCATCCTCCTTCTTCTCTTCCCCCTCCTTCTCCTCCTCCTGTCCATCCTCCTCCTCCTCCGCCTCCTCCTCCCCCGCCTCCTCCCTCCCCTCCTCCTACCTCCCCTCTCCGCCTCTTGTTCCTTCATTCCTTCTCCTCCTCCTCCTCCTCCTCCTCCTCATCCTCCTCCTCCTCCTCCCTCTTCTCCTTCCTCCTACTTCTCCACCGACATTGCCCTCCCTCCCGCTTTTCCTTCTCCTTCTCCCTTCTCCTTCCTCCTTTTTCTCCTTCGGTGTTCCGCCTGTTTTTTCCTTCTCCTTCGACCCTCTGTTCCACTTCCTTTCGCCTTCGAGTATTGTCAATACTTGTCCGTCCTGTTTTTCTCGGCTGGAGGGGGTCTAGGTCTCCTCCGCCCCTCCTCCTCCTCCTCCTCCTCCTCCTCCTCCTCCTCCTCCTCCTCCTCCCCTCCTCCTCCTCCTCCTCCTCCTCCTCCTCCTCCTCCTCCTCCTCCTCCTCCTCCTCCTCCTCCTCCTCCTCCTCCTCCTCCTCCTCCTCCCCCTCCTCCGAGAGCACCAGAGAGCCGCCGAGCCCCGGCACGCGAGAGACAGTGAGGGAGGGGGAGAGAGAGAGAGAGAGAGAGAGGCGCAGCACGTCAGCGCCATCCGCGCGTGCGGGCGCTCGGGGGACCTGCACGGCGCCCGCGAGGCGGTGGAGGAGGCGGCGGCGGGCCGCGGCTGGGGGGAGGAGGGGGAGGGAGGGAGGGAGGGAGGGGGGGGGCGGAGGGGGAGGGGGGGGAGGAGGGGGAGGAGGGGGGGAGGCGGAGAGGGGGGGAGGCGAGGGGGAGGGGGGAGGGAGGGGGGAGGGAGGGAGGGAGGGAGGCGGAGAGGGGGGGAGTGGGGGAGGATGGGGGAGGGAGGGAGGGAGGGAGGGAGGCAGAGAGGGGGGGGGAGGGGGGGAGGGGGGAGAGTGCAGCCCCTCGTGGCCTCGGAGGGGTGCGGGTCTCGGCCAATCGGGCTCCGTGGGAGCCCGACTGGGGTCCGAAGGGGGAATATTCAAAATATTATGTCGGATAGTAAAGTCGGGCATGTCGGGCATGTCCTTCTACAGAGGGAGTATTCAAACATAGCAACAAACATAGTACGTGGACTATTTTTTTTGTATTGTTGGGCATCGTTTGAGCATTGTTTGAATATCCTTTATGTATCGTCCAAAATCCCCTCTGTAGTGGGGCAGGCCCGACCTAATTCTAGCGTGCGCCTGGTTTGCCTTGACATGAGCTGGTTGGCCCGCTGGTCTGTCACGACCGTCGAGGATCTCGCGATACTTCTCTGTAATTGCAATATCTCCAGACTTCTCCGCCAATTGAACCATGGACCGTGGACAAGCACTAGATAGTTCCGACTAGGCATCCGACTGGCTCTGTTGTTGCTTAGATTGGATGTCTTGCTTGCAACATCCAGAGGTATTTCGTTTTCCCCTCCCCATGTTTCTTTCGGCGATGAATAAAAGTATACCCGCCTTCTCCTCCTCTTCCTCCTCCTCCTCCTCCTCCTCCTCCTCCTCCTCCTCCTCCTCCTCCTCCCCCCCTCCTCGTGCTCCTCCTCCTACTGTTCCTCGTCATCGTGGCGGAGATCATGTTCCCACTACTGTTCGCCGCGTTGAATAATTTGGGAGGTATCTTTCTCCCAGCCAATATGATCTCTGGGCTACCTTGCACGACAGAGGAATGTTGAGCACGTTTGTAAGAGGATTGCGATCAAGATCTACACATTCTTCGCCGAAGGTGTTGCTCACAATCTACTACTCGTAGTTGTAGCCGTAGTCGTATCGTGGTCGTAGTCGTCGTCGTCGTCGTCGTTGCGCGTCGGGTGCCGCGGAGAAATACTTCTATTGGTTGGACCCCACCCGTCAATAAGGCCGCCGAAAAAAAAGTGTTGGGGGGGCTCTACAGACCCAGTTCGGTCATTTTGAAGCCATCTCGGTGGTCCCGCTCTTCTCGGCGAAATCGACCAACGTCTGCTGGGCCTCTGTCGGCAGCTCGTCGGGGGGCGCCAGAGCTGCTGCCTCCAGAGGAGCCAGGACCACGAGTACGCCAGAGGCGCGTGAGGGCACGTCCCGTCGTGGCGCGGTCTGCCACAGGGCTTGAGCCACGAGAGCTTCTAGGAGCGGCGGCAAGCCCAGGCGTCCGATGCTGGCGCGCGCGAGCTCGACCTCGAGGGCGGAGGCCCCCGTGCCCGAGACTTGCCGCCGCCGGTGCCAGCCATGGAGATCCGATGTCCGCGAGGCTCTCGAAGCACCTTCCTGGCCGCCTCCGTGAGCGACGGAGAAACACACCGTGAACACAAACAGTTAGCGCTCCCCGCGCTGGGCCCCCCCCCCGGGCGGCGCCTCCAGCGCCGCCCCTGGCACGCTCCGCGCACCAGGGGGGGGAGGTCCAGCGCAGATCCAAGAAATCCGCGCGGAGCGCCACCAGTGTATGTTCATGGCGTTTGTTTTATTCGTCTTCTTCTTATTATTCTTCTTCTTCTTCTTCTTCTTGTTCTTCTTCTACACGTGCAGCACACGGCGCGCTAGCGCCCTCACGCGCCTCAGCCGCCTGTGCCAGGCAGGCGAGGCCGAACGATCGCCCGTGGCGTCACCGCGGCATGCTGAACACGGGCACGCGGCTGCGGTTTCGCGAGATCGGGCCGCCCTGGCAAATCCGAGCGCAGAACGCCGGAGAAAGGATAGGGAGGAGGGGGCTCCGGGACCACCGAGAATGGACCTCGGACAAAATGACCCCCCAGGAAGCCGCCAGGCTCCTTGGGGCCGCTGATCCAGAGCAGGAAGCAAAGGAGAGGGGACCCGGACAGGTTGGGTGCGCTCGCGCCATATCGAACATCCGACCCGTCTCACTCATCCTTCCCCATTGCGTGTATGTTTCCGCTTTCCGCGAACGCGTGTCATAGCGGACCTGCAACTCCCCCAAAGTTCCCATCGTCCTCTGCGCAGTCGGGATAGAGGGAGTTGCGTACACAGAAGGAGGTGGAAGAAGAGGAGGAGGAGGCGGCGGAGGAGGAGGAGGAGGAGGAGGAGGCGGAGGCGGCTGCGGATGAGCAGGAGGAGCCGGAGGAACAAGAGGATGAATGAGGAGGACGAGAACGACCAGCAGCAGCAGGAATCGGAGCGGCATCAGCGGGAGGAGCAGGAGGACGAGAGGAAGGCGGAGGAGGGGAAGGAAGGGGAGCGACAAAGATGAGGAAGGACTCGGATCCAGAATTGCGGCCCGCGCTGGATCGAGAGCGTAATTATGGGGTCAGCTCCCCAAACCCGCCACCCCTCTTTCCACTCACCCCTTCTCGGGTCCTGTCCCCTCCACGACGTTGTTTTTCTCATGGCATTCTGGTTTCGGGGTTGGAGGATGGGGGACACCGACGAGGGGAGGAGGAGGAGGATGGAGAGGAGGATAAGGGGACACTGGCTCCTCCTCCTCCTCCTCCTGCTCCCCTCTTCCTCCTGCTCCCCTCCTCCTCCTCCTCCTCCTCCTCCTCCTCCTCCTCCTCCCTGCTTCTTCGGCTCGTCTTTCTCCCTCTTCCCCCGTGCGCGCTGGGGGGGAGGGTGGAAGATGGGGGCTCACACGTCTCCGTCGTATCACAAGCCTTGCAGCATGTGCAGCTAGCTGCAAGTTGTGGGTCGTCTTCGCCGACATTCGCGCGTAAGCTGGCCGCATAAGCTCGCGCGTAAGTGCCCTCGCTTCAAATGTGAGTGCAGCGCGGGCGGCCAGCGTAAGCCGCGGCGTAAGGTCGCTATTCCCTCTCGCGTAAGACAGGTTTTTGAACATATATGTGTGGACACAGTTATTGTGAAACGTGTGCTGGTTGTGGTGCGTTATGATCTGAATTGCAGTATATGGTTCAGCGCAATGTTTGAAAGGTGTCCAGATGACAGTGGTGCGCAGTTGCAGCATCAGCAGAGTGACTATCCTCGTTGAAAAATTCCACGTTCGTGCGTAGCATGGTGCCTGTTCGCATAGGGCATAGGGCATATTGTCCACAGCACCCGCATCGACATAGTAGTGGTTCCGGCTGCATTCATCGTCACATTTCTGGTAGCATTCGTACTTGCAGTAGCGGTGGTAGTGGAGGAATGGTTTGGGAGGTGCCAGTCGTTGCAGAAACATGTGACCAGTGTCTGTAGAAGCGTTAGGGTTTGTAGTTTAGCAACTAGGCACCCAAGTGGCACTGGGGAAGCATAATTATATGAATGCTAGTAGCGCACGCGTTGGTTGAAGTAAACGTTGATGGAAACGTTGAACATTCCGTATACCAGCATGTGGAAGCGTATGAGTTAGGATCGTGGAAGCGGTAGTATTTTGGGTAGTAGAGTTGCAATAGTAGCGCATGGTGTAGTAGCCATAGTAGCAGCCATTATATAAGTTATATTAGTCGTACTAGTGGTAGTAGTAGTAGTAGTAGTAGTAGTAGTAGTAGTAGTAGTAGTAGTAGTAGCAGTAGTAGTAGTAGTAGTAGTAGTAGTCGTAGCCGTAGTCGTAGTAGTCACAGTAGTCGTAGTAGTCGTAGTCGTAGTAGTAGTAGTAGTAGTAGTAGTAGTAGTAGTAGTAGTAGTAGTAGTAGTAGTCGCAGCCGTAGCAGTTTTGCTAGTCGCAGTAGTCGTAGCCGTCGTCGTCGAGGTATCACTAGTACTAGCAGTAGTAGTAGTAGTAGTAGTAGTAGTAGTAGTCGTAGTAGTAGTAGTAGTAGTCGTAGTAGTCGTAGTCGTAGTCGTAGTCGTAGTAGTAGTAGTAGTAGTAGTAGTCGTAGCAGTAGTAGTAGTAGTAGTCGTAGTAGTAGTAGTAGTAGTAGCCGTAGTAGTAGCAGTAGTAGTAGTAGTAGTAGTAGTACTAGAGTAGTAGTAGAGTAGAAGTGGTAATAGTGGTGGTAGCACTACTAGCAAAAATAGTAGTAGTAGTAGTAGTAGAAGTAGTAGTAGTAGTAGTAGTAGTCGTAGTCGTAGTAGTAGTAGTAGTAGTAGTAGTAGTAGTAGGAGTAGGAGTAGGAGTCGGAGTAGGAGTAGGAGTAGGAGTAGTAGTAGTAGTCGTAGCAGTAGTAGTAGTAGGAGTAGTAGTAGAAATAGAAGTAGTCGTTGTAGTCGTGGTAGTCGTATTATCAGTAGTAATCGTAGTAGTAGTTCGTAGTAGTAGCAGTAGTAGTAGTAGTAGTAGAAGTAATAATCGTAGTCGTAGTATTAGTACTAGTACTACTAGTAGTAGGAGTAGTAGTAGTAGAGTAGTAGTAGTGGTGGTAGTAGTAGTACTGGTAGTAGCAGTAGTAGTAGTAGTAGTAGTAATCGTAGTAGTAGTAGTAGCAGTAGTAGTAATAATAGTAGTAGTCGTCGTCGTCGTAAAAGTAGTAGTAGTAGTAGTAGTAGCAGCAGTAGTAGTAGTAGTAGTAGTCGTAGTCGTAGTAGTAGTAGTAGTAGTAGTAGCAGTAGCAGTAGTAGTAGTAGTAGTCGTAGTAGTAGTAGTAGTAGTAGTGGTAGTAGTAGTCGTAGTCGTAGTCGTAGTATTGGTAGTAGTAGTCGTAGTCGTAGTTGTAGCCGTAGTCGTAGAAGTCGTAGTAGTCCGTCGTCGCCGTCGTCGTCGTAGTAGTAGTAGTAGTAGTCGTAGTAGCAGTAGTAGCCGTAGTAGTAGCAGTAGCAGTAGCAATAGCAGTAGTAGTAGTAGTAGTAGTAGTAGTAGTAGTAGTAGTAGTAGTATCAGTAGTAGTAGTAGTAGTAGTAGTAGTAGTAGTAGTAGTAATAGTAGCAGTAGTAGTAGTAGTAGTAGTAGTAGTAGTAGTAGTAGTAGTAGTCGATTAATAGCCAGGGTCGGCCCGAGGCCTTGGCGAGCGGGAGGGAGTGCCAGACGGACGTTTGGAATGCGTTGTTGGACGCCTTGGTGCGCAGCAGCGGACCCGTTCTCGTTTGCCAGCCTCGCCGCCGTCCACTCTGCATGCCGCTGTTGCCACCCGGACTCGGGGTCCGCATCTTTTTTGTCCTTCAAAGCGCAGGGGGAGGTATTGGGAAACGTGTGGGAGCATTCGGCCTCGACGGATTTTGAATTACATGCGCTGGCTTTGTTTGCTAAGCCAATGCGGTGTGCGTATGTCTGTCGTCTCCGCGTCGGCATGTGGCCGTTTCCCCACATTGTGTATCCTTAGGCGGTTCTTGTTTGTCCATACCAGGGAGCCCTGATCGGCCAGGCTATATGCGCGAGAGCGGACTGGTGTCGGTCGGACATTTACATGATTGATTTTGTTCCTATGTTGTTCCTCTGCCTGTTTTGTGGCCGTTGCGCATGTGTTCCAGAAAAGGGGAGGAGCGAACGAGAGGAGGAGACAGGACGGAGAAACTGGAAGATGAGGATGCGGTTGAGGAGGGAGGATGGAGGATCAAGTTCAAGACCGAAAACACAACCCAGTTGTCTTACGTTTTTTGCTGTACCCGAATATTCTCGAAACCAACGTACAAAAGCGGTGTTTCCCGTTCTTGTGCGGTCTGGTTCCCCCATCATTGCTGTTTCGCCAAACACATCCTCCACTATTCGGTTTCGGAGGGTGCTCTGAACCAACATGGTCTTGGAATCGCTCTTGGAGGGCCTCAAGATTACTCAATCGAGCCCCAAGAGGCCCCTCAGAGAACCCCCCAAAAACCCCAAGAGGCTCCCACGAGCGCGGAGGCTCCAAAACGGCCCAATAATAGCCCCAAGACGGCCCAAGGGGCCGCCAAGGCGGCCAAGGAGAGCTCCAGAAGCTCCCTAAGACACTCCCAGGCAGTCCAAAAAAGCCCAGATTTCCCCAAGATGACCCCGATAGGCTGCGAATAAGCGTTCAAAGAGGCCCCAGAGATGCCCGAAGACGGCTTCAGGCTCTCCTGGTAGTCCCCATCGTAGTCCCGCCTGGGCTTCCTCGGGCGGTCGAACCCCCACACTGGTCAGAACCTCGAACTCCGTCCAACAGCCAGGGGAACATCAACGGCGTTGGCCTGCTCGGATTCTCCTGGAGAGCATCCTGGAGACCCATTAGGCTGTCTTCGGGGCCTCTTGATCTGCGGGAGAGCGCGTTTCACGGGCGCTCGCCTTGGGAAAATTCGGCGGTGCCTTTCATACCCGGAGGGTATCAAGGGCCCTCACCTCTTCCAGTTCCTTTTGTTCATCGTCCCTCTTCTCGCCGCCGTCCTCCTCCGTCGCCCTCCCCCCTCGCTCCCTCCGGCTGCTGCTTCCCCCCCCCCAGCCATCCTTGTCTTCTCCCCCGTGCCGCCGCTCCGCGGACCCGCGCTGAACCAGGAAGCGGCGAGGGGGCCCCGGTGGAGGAGCTGTTCGGCCGCATGAAGGAGAACAAGCAGGACGGGGGGGCACAGTCGGGGCCCTGAAGAAGGAACCCTTTTCAGACACCTGGGCCAGCATTTGTAACCCACTTGTGAGCTGGGTTAGCCCAGATATGATCGACCTTGGCATCCGCCGATAGCCTCCCTAACCTCTCGGCACCCCCCGCGCCGATCTCAGTGGAGCCGACAATTTCTGCACCCGAGCCCGACGGGCGTCCAAGCGCACAGTCGGGGCCCTGAAGAAGGAACCCTTTTCGTTGGGGAGGGGCTCCGTGTTCCTTGATTGGTTCACAGCTTGCCTTAGGTTTCCCTTAGGTTTTCCCAATGGAGAATCGGAGTTTAACTTATGGGAAAAAGGGGGCCCGTTCCTTATTTAGGGTTCCTTAGGTCAAGGCCCCGACTGTAGGATCCGGCGGCGAGCGAGAGGGTGAAGTGAGAAGAAGAGGACCTTCTCATGAGGCAGCGCGGCTGACTGGGGGACTTCAGAGCCCTCTGAGAAGGCCCGCCCATTCTCTCACGTCCCCCCCGCCTCTCGCCGCCGAGGGATGCAATTCCTGGGGGGTCAGATTCAGGATCTGCGCTGGTATTATCCCTGGCCGATTCATCCTGACGAATCTGGCCGAATGGCGGGCTTGATCCGGCCTGATCTGGCTCAGTGGCCTCTCAAGTCGGCCCAATAGCCTCGAGTCGTTCTTGCGAAGACATCCCAGAAGTTGCTTCCAAGAGGAGAGTCGGGGGTGGACAGACCTCCTACCCTGACACGTCGATTAGCGAATTGGCCGTTTTCGGCTCGCGAGAGGGCGTCGCGGCCGTCATTTTTGCGGGTCCAGGTCCGTCGGTTTCGGTCCCAGGCCGTTTTCACTAAGGGGAGGTTTACTAAAGGGAGGTTTGTCCACCGCCGAGGGAGGTGGCCCTCACCCCATCGATCGTGGCACGAGTCGGGCCGAGAGTGGCGACGACAAGCACCTTTCCCCGATGCTCGAGCTTACACGCAGTACTGGGCGGTCTCGTCAAGAGCTCGACGAAAGGGGCTGCGGCTGCCAGGTGCGCGGTGCTGCCTGCCTGCACGCTTCTGCTCGCGCGCCAGGCTCTCTATAAGAACCCTCGTGGGCCCACCCGGGCTCGGGGGCAGCGTTGGGGGGGATCGGCTCAGAGGGGAACGCATCGACAAACCCAATCGCTCATGGACCGCCGACGGACCGCCGACGTGGGCCCGAGAGCCCACGCCGTCCAGGACCGTGCGGACTCGCTGTCGAGTGCCTACGGCCGATTCCATCCAGGTCGACGTATTCCATCCAGGTCGACGTATCCCCCGATGCTATCCATCCAGGTCGACGTATTCCATCCAGGTCGCCGCACTCCATCCAGGTCGACGTATTCCATCCAGGTCGATGCTATCTGGAGAGGTATCGCCGATTCCAGGTCGACGTTCCCCCCCCCCCCCCCACTCGCCCACCCCCGCCTCGCGAGAGCCGGTCCCCCCCACGTCCGAAGCTCCCCCTTCAGCTCCCCCGAAGCCCTCAGGGACCCACCCGAGTAAACCGACGCGAAGATCGGGGCAAAATCGGATCGGGATAGCTCGAAATCTCTGAGAATCGGCGGGCTTGGAGGACGTATTGGGCGCCGCGGTCGCTCCAGAGCGCTCCGGAACGCTCTGAGAGCGCTCCAGAACGCTCTGGAGCGATTCATCCCGATCCTAGCCCTGTTTTACCGAGCGGCGCCAGGAAAAGGGGCGCCGTCTGCGCCGAGCTTCCTCGCGCGCGGTCTGCCCGCGCAGGGTGTCGTGCGTCAGCGCCCCGGGCCCTCGTGCCCGCTGGTGGCGGCCCGCATGGGCCACCGCATGAGGTCGCTATGTTTAAGTCGGGCCTGGCCCCCTACAGAGAGATTCTTCGACGAACATAAAACATACCCCAAACATACCCCCCAAAAGGTCAAAAACACATTCAAAAAACAGTCCCCAGACTATTTGTGGACTATTTGTTTTATTCTGTTGGAGGTATGTATGATTTTTCGTCGGAAATCCCCCTGTAGGGGGACAGGCCCGACTTAACGCTATGTCATCTCGCGTAGTGTTTCTTTGCGTCGCTCACGTGGGGACCACCCGGCGACTCGGCGGCACCCGCGCTGGCCCTCTCGACCTGTGCCTGCCGAGGGGCCCCGCATCCCCGCGCGTCTCTCGTATGGCGCGGGGGCTTTCGGCTCCGCCGCTTTTTGGGGAGGCCTGCTCCCTCCTCCTCCTCCTCCTCCTCCTCTCCTCCTACTCCCTCCTCCTCCTCCTCCTCCTCCTCCTCCTCCTCCTCCTCCTCCTCCTCCTCTCCTCCTACTCCCTCCTCCTCCTCCTCCTCCTACTCCTTCCTCCTGCTCCTCCTCCTACTCCTCCTCCTTCTACTTCTCCTGCTCCTCCTCCTCTCGCTTCCCCGCCGGGTTCGCCGCCGAAGAGGGTTGCGAAGTCTGCCGCACGCAATCGGGCGGGGCGCTCTCCCGATACATTGTGGCGCCTCTGGCGCCGGGAGGCGCTGGGAGAGTCAGCTGCGTTCACGATTTGGCAAACAGCTCCCATACCTCGAAGAAGACAAACAAAAACATAAACATTTTGCGCTCCGCGCGGATTTCTTGGATCCGCGCTGGGCCCCCTCGGCGGCGCTTGCGGCGCCGCCTCTGGCGCGCTCCGCGCGCCAGGGAGGGGGTCCAGCGCAGATCCAAGAAATCCGCGCCGAGCGCCAAAAGTTCGTTCTTTCATCATGCGGGAGCTGATTTGCAAACCGTTCTTTTCACTCGTGGTCCGACCCAGTCTGGGCGCGGCATCGGGCGCTCTGGAAACCTCCGCAGCCGTCAGCAGGGACAGCTCGGGACGAGAGGAGGTTAGTCTCAGGGGAGTGTACTGCTAGCCCCGGAGTTTGAAGGGGAGGATGCCCACCCGTCCTCTCGGGGGGGGGGGGGGGGGGGAAAGCGTTCCCGGCGGCGGAAGTTTTCTAATTCTTCTCCCAAGGTTGCGGCGGCTACGGAGGTGCGGCGTTGCAGTTTGCGCTGCCTGTTTTGATTCGCGTGATGTCGAGAGACGTGGTGACTCACATTGATGTGAGCTCGACGAGCCGTCCGATCCTTCTCTCGCACCCCTGGCGTTGTGAAAAAACATTGATGTTGGTCGCAGCGCTGGCGGTCGCTCAGCGCGGCCGAGGAGGATGCATTTTTATTATTATTATTATTATGCGCAAGGTGCAAACAGCACACCCGGCATTTTTGCTCTGATGCGCTCTTCGAAGAGAGGGCTTTTGTCCGTCCCGTCACCGTCCATCGGGGACGAGGGTTTTCTTGAGGATGCAGTCGCAACCAAAGGCAATCGTGCGAAGAATATACATGTGGCTCAGCACGTCTGTCGCCTGTGATCTTGCCTCACACCTTCCGCCCTGCTTCACAGATGCACTCGTGGTAGACTTGACAGGTTGAAAGGTCGTCCTCGCATGTCGGTTCACAATCTCTCATGGTTGGGACTGGCCTAGTTTAAGAGTCTGTTCGCACTCGTCCGCCACTGGAGCCCCGAGAACGATCGAATCGTGGTGCGGTTATGCTTTCTGCTGCCTGCTCATCCTTGCTCCCTCTGCTATATCTCTGTCTGCCTTCTCTTCTCAACGCAGACCTACTACCCACGGCTGTAGAGTTTAGAAATTGTCCTTACTCCTCGCCATCCTCAGATCTTCTCTCCAGAGGCACAGGCAGTGGTCTTAGTGGCGGCGGCGAGGGCGAGGGGTGCAGGAGGCGCTGGCGGGAGGAGCGAGGAGGTTCGAGACAGCGGTTCGAGAGAGCGGGATGGCAGGCGGAGCCGTGGACGAGAGAAGCGTCTCGTGCTCTGGGGTTCGTGCGGGTGGTGGTCTGGCCTCGTGGTCCTGCTGCTCGCGTCGACGACGACCGCGTGGTGGACGCGTGGATTGAGGAATCGGGGACGCGCAGAAGGACGGGGGAGTCTCCATCCGAGTGTGCTCCGTGGCTCGTCGTCGCCCCCTCGGGGCGAGGCTCACCCTGCTGGGTGCGCCTCCGCCCCGCAGGGGCCTGAGCCTTCGGGCCGGCCCAGCCAGGAGGGGGGATGGCTGAGCAGGAGGAGGGGCAGGCGCAAGGGAGGAGGAAGAAGGGGGGGGCCAGGGGGGAGGTGGGGGGAGACGCGGAGAGAGGAGGAGGAGGAGGAGGGGAGGAGGGGAGGGGGAGGAGGAGGAGGAGATGGAGGGAGGAGGAGGAGGAGGAGGAGGAGGAGGAGGAGGAGGAGGAGGAGGAGGAGGAGGAGGAGGGAGGGGGGGAGGGGGGGGGGAGGAGACCGAAGGAGGGCGGGGCAGGGACTGCACTGGGGGAGGCGTGGCCGCCGCCGGGGCGGCGGGTCGGCCTGGGCGGGCGGGCCAGGCCGACGTCGTGACGTTCAACATCATGCTCCGCGCGCGCCTCCAAGCAGGCCTCCATTCGGGCCGGACGAAAGGGGGGGATTGGGAAAGGGGGGGTTACGAAATTTGCTGCAGGCAGCTGGTTTCGGCCTCACCGAGAGGCCCCTTCCTCGATACATAGCCGCCTCCGGCGCCGGGAGGCGCCGGGAAAATCAGCTACGTGAGCTGATTCTCAACCCCCCCCCTTTGCTATCCCCCCCTTTCGCCCGACCCGATCCATGGGCCACGCGCAGAGGATCAAGCAGTGGCGAAGCGTCCTGGCGTGCCCGTAGGCCTACCAGGCAACGTTCCAAGGACCTGTCCTGGTCTGCACGAAAATGTTCCGAGAACATCTCCGGCTGGGACCGTCCTGTTTAACACACGCGCAGGGTTCTTGCTATAAGCACAGCGTTTCTGTCCTTCGTTCATTATTGTTCTAAGAACCAGTCGTGGTAGGCCTATAGGAATGCCGGGACGGTCGGACCTGCTCAATCCATGGGCCACGCGCAGAGGAGGGTAGCGTCAAATCGGGCATGCCCCTCTACAGGAGAAATATCCCAAAATAGTCCAGGAGGAGTGTGGGGACGATTCTTTTCTGCTATGTTTGCTTGTTTGTTGATTTGTTGAGTATGTATTGGCTATTTTTGAACCGTCACCATAAATCCACCTGTAGGACGGCATGCCCGACCTCAGGGTAGCGGAATGGGGAAAGGCTTCTTAGAAACTCCCTTGCTTCTTAGAAGGCGCGGGCCTTCTCTGCGGATGTCGGTCCGGGCGCGTTCCAAGAAGCCGCCTCCTCCCAAGAGGCCTTCCCCCCTTCCCCTTACCCCCTTTGTGCGCGCCGCCAGCTCCAGTCAAAGATCGAGCAGCGAGGTCCCCCCCAGGAGTGCACAGATCGCTCCACATCTCTGACGTTATGGTGGTTTCCGCAGGCGGTGTCCGTCGATCTCAGCCTCCAGGGCCCATTATCGGTCCTTCTCCTCCTCCTCCTCCTCCTCCTACTCCTACTCCTCCTCGTCCTCCTCTTCCTTCTCCTCCTAGGGCCGCGGACGGAATATGTGATATATAAATATATATATATAGTGTGTGTGTATGACACGCTCGTGCGCCACTTGCCGCCGCTTGGCTCTTAGGGGCCCCTTTTTGCCTTGGCTTGAAAACGTATCATCAATCACACTGGCAGCGGAGCTGCTACACGATCTTCGGCATCGTACCACTGCGCAGGGCTCGTCCTCTCGCGAGGACAGCTCCCCGCCTTTTCTTTGCACTGGGCATCCACCCTTACGAGGGGATTGCTTCCTTGCCGCCATGGCGCTGTCTTCCCTTCGCTATCGGTCGAACGCCGACGCGTTGACTCAGTCGGAGACGAAGGGTGGCTCCTACATCTATGATGGCACCGTGAACAAATTTCACGAATGGGAGTTCCGCACTGAAATGCGTATGAGTGCTGTTTTGTCTGCTGTAGATGCAGAGACAGGAGAATCCCAGGCACATGTTGTCACCGCAGCCGTCAACAAAGTTGTAGAAGGCCTCAGAGGCGACGCGTTCGATATGGCCATGGATATCGGTAAGGACGCGCTTCTGACTCCCAAAGGAATCGACCAGCTGATAACGGCGATTCGTGCTTCACTCTCCCCTATAGAGTCTCAGGAAGCCAAGATCATGTTCCAGGTAGGTCAGAGGCCCTACGGCCCTCTGTCTAGGCAGAACGGTGAATCGATGGTATCATACATCTCCCGCAGGAAGCGTTGGTGGAAACTCGTCACCAAATTGGACCCGAAGCTTGTGCTGAGTGACGACATGCTTGGATCCCTCCTCTTGGACCATGCAGGGCTTTCACCCTCGGAAAACCTGATGGTGCTGACATCCACAGGTAACATGACCACCTTTGACAATATCAAGGATGTCTTGATCCTCCAGCACGGCCGTATCCACATCCGCCAAAAGGGCAAAGGTGGAGACCCGTCGAGTAAGGGCCCCAACCCCTCGCCGTGGACACAGTATCGGCCCGGCTACCCTAGCAGGAGCAAGGGCAAGGGCAAGACCCGGTACAGCAGGCCGCCCCAGGCCTTCCACGCCACCGACGACGGTTGGTACGAGCAGGAGGAGCAATCCAGAGGAGCTTAGTCCCTATGGATACTACGCGTCTGGCTACACTCCAGAGTACGGCTGGGACGACACGTCCTGGACCGACATAGCCTGGATGGCAGACGGGCAGACGGAGGACCAAACTTGGGGCGACGAGGAATCGTACGCTCTCTGGTCACCCGTGCAGGAGGAGAGCGAGCTCGATGGAGACGTGTTTGACGAGATGGTCAAAGCGGGCTACACGGAGGACGAAGCTTCCGAAGCAATCCAAGAGAACCTGGTCGCCAAGCTAGGCACCAAGGGAGGTCGTAAAGGTAAAAGCAAAGGCAAAGGTCACAACAACTCAACACCTTGGAGAACTACACTGCCGCCCAAGGGCGGTGGCAAGGGAGCACCGACCCTGGAATATCGTAAAAAAACGACTCCAGGATATCAAGGAACGTTCCAAGTGCAAGACCTGCCATGAGGTTGGCCACTGGTCCGGGGACCCTGAGTGCAAGGGCGAGCCCAGGACGGGCTTTGCAGCGTTCACTGGAGAGCGAGAGCTTCAGTTACGCGAGGAAGGCGACGATCACCAGTTCGCGCCAACAGGAACCATTGCCTTATCATCCACCACCCATCATCATACTTATAGTAGCAATATGTCGCATTCGGGCAAGGTTTCCTTTTGCTCTTCCTTCTCCCCTCACTCCTCGAAGTGTCGCAGGGCATGTTCTTGTGAGGGAAATAATTGCGATGGCCAATGTTGCTTGCTGTTTGGGGATGAAGAGGAGCACGCGCGCAGGGTTTGCATGGGGGCCGCTGCTGCTCTGGCCCAAACCAGCCCCGAGCGCGAGCGCGCGGCCGCGACTGGAGAGCCCCCAGACCTCCGCGGAGGCTGGCGAGGAGCACTTCGGGTTCATGGCCCTGCGCGCGCCTAGCAAGGCCGCGCCAGGAATACCCTCGGCCTCGAGGGATGCTGCCCCGAGCGCCGCCTCGAGGGCGACCGACGCCTCCGACGGGCCAGAGAAATTGTCGATGGTTTCTGTATCGGATGAGGAATTCGAGACGCCAGATTTGGCCCCTGTTCCAGGGCGCGATACGGTGTTCGCTACAGGCCAGCATCGTGGGCTTTCCTATGGCCGAGTGCTGAAGATGACCCCAGAATATGTATCGTGGAGCCGCGGTGTGAAGAAGCCGAGCTTGGAGCTGAAGAACTTCTTGGTTTGGTTCGATGAGTACTTTGTCCAGAAGGAGGATGGTAGCATCGGCCGCCGCACCGAGGGGAGCGCCATGCCCTCGGCTAGCTCCAGCGGGACTTCGAGCAGGAAGCCGCCGGATCCGCCGCTGCCTCACTCCTGTGCTCGTGGTTGCACCAGCTTCTCGAGGTCTGGTTCATCGGCGCGCTTTATCGTCCGCACCTGCAGGGACTGCGGTCACAAGATCAAGAAGGAGAGATACGAGGCACTACATCAGCCGGATGAGTGTCCTCGCGATCTCGTGGACCACCGGGGTAGCACTGCCGACATTCATCGCGCGTTCTGCTGCAAGTGCTTGACGTACATCGATGAACAGCCCCGTGCGCTCGCTGAGGACAAGAAGAGCACGGCGGAGAAGGTCGAACTCTCTTCTAACCTCCAGGCGGAGGTGATCGAGAAGGTCATCGAGGGCGACCGCCCTGCATCTCCCGAGGAGCTGAAGGTTGCAATGAAGATGTTCACGAGGCGCGCTATGTCGATCTGTCAGGACAGGTGATACCAGCACAAGTGAGATGGTTTCATTACTACACGACTGTGTGCAAGAGGCAGCAGATAATTAGCTCATCGCGTTCATGGCACCAACACTAGCACCTTCAGTAACGACCGCCACGTCGGCGATGTCAAAGCTTCGTTTGGTAGACGTCTTCAAGGATGATGGTGTATGGGCTACCCTGGGCGAAGGTTGCAATTCTTGTTGCCATGGAAAACTTGGGCCTTCAATGCAGAGGACAAGTGCGAGAAGCTAGGTTTTTTTTTTTTCACAGTGGGCCCACAGAGAGCGGAAATCGTACACTGGCATTGGTGGTCAGGCTGGCAGTTCCACGACGGGCAAGAAGTGTTTTCCCTATCGCATTGTGGGTGCGTGCGGTGCTGTCAGCGGTTGCTTCGAGTCTCATCAGTTGAAGGATTCAGATCATGTGCCGTTCTTGCTGTCGCTACCGGAACAAGTCCCCCTCGGTCTCGTCAAGGATCTCGCCAACGGACGCGCCATCCTGGACCAGGAAGGCGAGATAGAGATGCGTCGCTGCAGCCGCGCAGGTCTCCTTGTCATTCGTCTCGATCAGTTCGATTCTCATCGGGTTTCCGGGTCTATTCGCCCTTTGCACATATCATATCAGGCCCAGAGCAACATGGGGGACATCGGCGATACCAGCCCCCAGCGTCAGAACGTTTTGGATCATAGCGACGACGAGCACGGCAAGTTCTCAGCCATGGGTCTGCGCAAGGACAAGAGGCCTGATGCTGCTCCCATCACAGGACCATGCGCCAAGTCTTTCGCTGTCTACACGATGGGCCTAGAGAACTTCGAGAGTCATCCTGATGCCTCGGGGGGCCAGCTGTTGACGGAGTACCTCCGCGACAAGCACCGTGGCAAGAGTTATGGGATGTCTACGGCTGGGCATGATGGTCAAATTCTCTGCGAAGCCTTGATAGCCGCACGCCCAGAACATGGCGATTTCGATAGGCTCATATTTGTTGACACTCGGGAGCTGAACGATCCTCTGTCCACCAAGCACATTGGAGTTCACCCTCGTATCTTAAAGGCCGCAGCTGATAACGAGCACTTCCCAGACATCGCTGAATACATCGGCAAGGCGCTGGCGAAGTGCAAGGTCACCGGATCCGTCGCGATCATCTTGATATGTCGTTCGGGTGGACACCGTTCAGTAGCAGTAGCGTACGGGGTGAAGCAATACCTTCGAGAT